GGGGGAGGAGGAGAAGAAGAGGAGGAGGAGGAGGAGGAGAAAAGAAGAAGAAGAAGAAGAAGAAGAAGAAGAAGAAGAAGAAGAAGAAGAAGAAGAAGAAGAAGAAGGGGAGGGGGAGGGGGTGAGGAGGAGGAGGAGAAGAAGAAGAAGAAGAGGAGGAGGAGAAGGAGAAGAAGAGGGGGGGGAGGAGGAGGAGAAGAAGAAAAGAAGAAGAAGAAGAAGAAAAGAAGAAGAAGAAGAACAACAACAACAACAACTCTGTAAGAAAACAATCCAGCTCAGAGAACACCAAAAGACCCCCTGAGCTACAAGTATTCTATCAGTTGCTAAATTAATGCTCCAAACCTCACTCACTTCTAGGACCAACGAGGTTACCTAGTAGGGTAATAAAACACCTGCAATAATAACCACCAAGCTTGGAGACCACCCCACATTTAGCAACCGTTCAAATATATGACGGCACTGAAAAAAAAGTGACGTGCAGCCAGTCCTCAAACTTCAGTCCATCGCAGCATCCTTGCAGAGACGTGATCCGATCGTCATAAGTTGAGGACTTCCTCTATCGGCATCTAAGCTTGTTGAGAATGTGTTTTGCGGGGATTTGTCCGCGCCGCACTCACACTGGATAGCGCGAAATCGTGGGAACGTGGGAGAGCCACCGGCTCCTGCGTCAAAGACGTCCTTCCTTTTATCCAGCCCTGGAGATGCTTGAACCGTGATGCGATGCTTAAAATCTGAGAGAAGAAAAGGAGAGGAAAATAACCATGAAAACCACCTTGAAGCTGATGGAGTCAAACCTAGCCGCTTTCTGCTCTCGTCAAGCTGTGAGTTAACCCTGGTTGGGGATTTTCTCGGTTTTTTTTTAAAAAAAGGGAAATGTTTTGTTTTTTTAAACCCAATTAAAATGAGGTGAACCCGATTAAAATGAGGTGAACAGAACAATTTATAAAAGTTTAAATGGTATAAAATAGGGATCTCTAACTTGCCGACTGGGGAATTCTGGGAGTTGAAGTCCACAAGTCCTAGTTGCCACGGTAAGAGACCCCTGGTGTAAAAAAATATTTAAGTAGGTCAGAAAGAAAAAGAAATTCTGCCTATTCCACCCCCACCCCCACAGGGGTCTTGGAGCATTTTGGCTGGTTTTATTGAACTCTGTTTTGGGATCGATTGTATTTTTTCTTCCAATGTGAACGACATGATGAAGTTTGGGGTTAGTACTACCATAAAATACAAGATTGTTCTAGAAGGAGCCAATGAATTTGGAGAGGGAGCCATTTTTAATTGCTCCCAGATCAAACATGGTCTCTATTTCCCAGAATCCTTGAGGCACCACATTTATTTCCCAAAATCCTCGAGGCACCACATTTATTTCCCAGAATCCTCGAGGCACTACATTTATTTCCCAGAATCCCTGAGGGCACATTTATTTCCCAGAATCCCTGAGGGCACCACATTTATTTCCCAGAATCCCTGAGGGCACATTTATTTCCCAGAATCCTCGAGGCACCACATTTATTTCCCAGAATCCCTGAGGGCACATTTATTTCCCAGAATCCCTGAGGGCACCACATTTATTTCCCTGGTTTCCCATGTGCCCTATATTTATTTCCCAGAATCCCCGAGAACGCTGGTCCGTTGCCATGGCAACCCTCAACAAATACCAGGGCCATCTTTCGCAAAACCAAACCTCCCCACCGCCACCACCAGGCGGGCTTTCCTGCACCCGGCCTTCCTACCGAGCGGCATGCTGATGCGCTCGCTGTCCCTCCCTCGGAGCTTGTTGCGCTTGAAGGTTCCCTTGCGCTTCTTGACGTGCGGCCGGTCGCGGTTCATCTGCTGGATCAGGAGGCTGAGTTCGCGCTCAAAGACCTCCAGCTCCCACTGGGCCAGTTCGTGTTCTCGCTGGCGGAGGAATTCCTCCTGGGACTTCTGCTTCAGGGCCGCCTGCTTCAGCTCTTCCTCCCGGCTCAGCAGCTCCTGGGCAGAGAAACGGATCCCGAACAATCAGGATTGTTAGGGGCCGTTTTCAGGATCTGTTGTACCTTTGAATTGTTATGAAGCGACTGGATGTAACTCAAGGCCTCCCTGTATTTTAATTATTTTTAATTTGTTTTTATGTTTTGGGAACTGAAGGCAGGACAAGAAGCAACAGGTGGAAACTAATCAAGGAGAGAAGCAACTCGGAATTAAGGAGAAACTTCCTCACAGTGAGAAACAATTAACCTGTGGAACGACTTGCCACCAGAGGTTGTGGATGCTCCATCACGGGAGGTTTTTAAGAAGAGACTGGACGGCCACCTGTCCGGAATGGCACAGGTAGTCTTCAACTTATGACCACAATTGAGCCCCAAAATTATGTTGCTAAGCAAGACATTGCGTTTTCTAGAAAACCACAAAAAGAATCTTTGATTTCCTAGATAGGCAGACCTCAATGGAGCCCCACATTTCTGTTGCTAAACGATACAGTTGTTAAGTGAGTTTTGCCCCGTTTTCTGACCTTCCTTCCACAGTTGTTAAGGCAATCATTGCAGTCGTTAAATTCGAAACACGGTTGTTAAATGAATCCAGCTACCCCATTAATTTCGCTTGTCAAAAGCTGATCGTATGACCCTGGGACACTGCAACTTTCATAAATACGAGTCAGTTGCCAAATGTGTGAGTTTTGATCACCTGACCACGGGGATGCTGCAACGGTCATAAGTGTGAAAAACAGTCATAAGTCGCTTTTTTCACTGCCGCTGTAACTTTGGAACAGCCACTAAACGAACTGTCATAAGTCAAGGACTACCTGCATTAGAGTGTCCTGCCTTGAGCAGCGAGTTGGACTACAAGACCTCCAGGGTCCCCTCCAGCTCTTGTTATTCGTTTAACTGCAGTTAAACAAATAACAGAGTTGGAAGGGACCCTGGAGGTTGTCTAGTCCAACCCGCTGCTGTTCGGAAAGGGGACACACTCACACCACCCCGTTCCCCAGCCTTTCCCCTGAGATTCTCACCTTCTCTTTTGCACGCAGCTCGTCAAACATATCCTGGATCTCCACTTTCCAGTCGTCCTGCATGGAATGGAAGGACTCTTGTGGCAGGTCGTGGAGCACCTGTCTTTCGAGGACTGTCAGCTGATCGAGGATGGAGGCAAAGCTGGGGCGTGCGTGGGGGTCCTGCTGCCAGCACTCTGGCGGGAGGCGGCGGCGGCGGGAAAATAAAAGGGAAAAGAGTCAAATAACGGAGTTGAGAATCAGCCACCCCTTGGAGACTGTGCAACGTCAAGGTGCCGGGCCGGTCTGCTAACGAACGCCATCTTGGAGCGGTGCGTAAAGGCAGGGACCGTGTTCTCCTTCGGAGACAGGTTGAAGCAGAAGTGGTCTTCAGCCGGTTCTGACCGGTTCTGGAGAACCCGTAGTGGAAATTTTGAGTAGTTCGGAGAACCAGCAAATCCCACCCCATCTATTCTCCACCTCCCAAGTCCCAGTTGATCAGCTGGGTCTCCTTTGGTTGCCCTGCACAGGAGAACGGAGCTGGAAAGCAGGTTAGTGGGGTGGGGAGGGAAGGGGGATTTTGCAGTCACCTTCCCCGCCATGCCCACCAAGCCACACCCCCAGAACCAGTAGTAAAAACATTTAAGTCCCACCACTGGCCGTTGAACGATTCGAGGAGAGAAGAGGAAGAAGGCAACTGTTGGAATAGCGTGTGGGGAAGACCTTGGGAGATGAGGCAAAGAGAACAGTCAGATAAAGGCAGCATAGCCCTCAACTGCACAATGGATGGAGAAAGAAGCTCAGAAGGGACCCTCCCTAGTTTCTCAGGCTGTAAAAGGGTGGGGAGAATATAGATCTATGGAGAGAGTATGAGCAAGTATGTGGGAAGACCTTGGGAGACAGAGTGAAGAGACCTGCACAGTAATGGTCGGATGAGAGAGCAGACAGGGCAAGAGGCTCGGAAGAGACCCTCCCTAGTTTCCCAGGCTGTAAAGGAGATGACTATAATGGTATGTGGGGAAGACCTTGGGAGAGGGAGCAAAAAGATACTGCCCAGGAATGGTCAGGTAAGAGGCAGTATAATGCTCGGCTGTGTAATAGGTAGGACGAGAGGCTCAGAACAGACTCTTCCTAGTTTCTCAGTTGGTAAAGGAGATGGCGGGTATGGTATGTGGGAAAGACCTTGGCAGACGGGGCAAAGAGATGCTGCCAAGGGAACAGGCAGATAAAAGACAGCATAGCCCTCAGCTGCACAATGGATGTAAAAAGAGGCTCAAATGGGACCTTCCCTAGTTTCTTAGGCTGTAAAGGGAGGGTCCTGTTCTGATCTAGGCTTCCCCCAAGAAGCACTAAGGAGACTCTTTGTCCTGGCAAAACCCCTTTTATTAAACGAAGGTGAATTTCTTGCATCCACCTTCAGCCAAAGGCCTGGCAAACAGTCTTTCGAGGGTCTAATGAGGAGCACAGGCCTTATCTAGCCTGTAGAGCTGCCAAGGAAATATTTCCAAACGCAGTGCTGACAAGGAAGGGCTCGGCACAGAGATCTTCACACTGCTGCAAGGAACAAGTTGTTTCCTGCAAAAGCCCCTTCCCCTTTTGCTCCTTCACCATTCACCTGTGGCCTTACTCCCACGTCGACCCTTAGTTCGTAATTGTTCGTTCCTTTTGGCAGCTCTGCACATGCGCAGACTGGGAACGGGCTCCCGAAGCTCCTCCGCCTCACTGCTGTCCAAGCCCGAATGCAGCGGATGACTGCCAGCCTGCCCTGGCCCCATTTCTGCCTCTGATGCAAAGCCCTTGCCTGAGCCTTACTCAGCCTCCAGGACTGGCCCATGTTCCTCCCCAGCCTTCTCACTCTCCGACTTGGCTGCCAGCTCCGCTAGCCACCGGTGGGCCACAACAGGGGAACAGAATCTAGATCTATGGAAAGGGTTCAGAGTGTGTCAGGTACACGGGAAAGAGTTGGCGAGGCAAAGAGAGGAACAGTCAGAGAAGAGAAAGCTGAGCCCTAAGAAACTGTGCTGATACGTTGCTAAGTGAATCCGGCTTCCCCATTGGCTTTGCTCGTCAGAAAGCCGCAAATGGGGATCAAATGACTCTGGGATACTGCAACCATCATGAATATAAATCCGTTGCCAAGTGCCTGAATTTTGATTACATGACCCTGGGGATGCTGCAAAGGTCGTAACGGTGAAAAACAGTCTCAAGTCACATTTTCCAGCGCCATTATAAATTTGAACTGTCACTAAATGAACGGTCGTAATTAGAGGACCTATCTGTACTGGGAACAGTGCTGACAGCCTAGATTTCCAGTAGGTTAACAGAAGAGTGTCAGGATTCCAGCAATCGCCCTTATCACTCCTTATCGCCCCTCCCCTCCCACTTGTGACTTTGTCACTTGCATCCTAACGATTTTTATTGACTGTTTCCTTGTACGATTTGATTGCTTATTGTCCCCTATGACTATTATTAAGTGTTGCACCTGATGATTCTTGACGAATGTCTCTTTTCTTTTATCTACACTGAGAGCATTTGCACCAAGAGAAATTCCTTGTGTGTCCAACCACACTTGGCCAATAAAGAATTCTATTCTATTCTATTCTATTCTATTCTATTCTATTCTATTCTATTCTATTCTATTCTATTCCTTCCAATATTTATTCTATTCTATTCTATTCTATTCTATTCTATTCTATTCTATTCTATTCTATTCTATTCTATTCTATTCTATTCATCATGATTAATTAAATCATGATTCTCGAGCCAAACTTCAACTTCAAACTTCAAAGGATTTATTAGACGCGACATACTGGCCCTGCCCTGTGTGAAGCCAACTCCGGCATACATCATTTACAGTCGCCTGTGACCCTGTTTCCCCCCCTCCTCCTCCCTGGGTGTGTCATAAATCACATCCTCCAAATGAACACGTTCACAGTCTGGGTGTTATCAATCACATTCTCCAATTAAATATATTCGCAAGCAAAAGCTCTGGTAGTTTAGCTACAACCTTTTAAAGATAAGAGTTGGAATGTACTTCCGCTTCCAAACTGCTGCATTGCTCTTCCAGATTTCCTTCCTCCCCCTTTTTTATTTTTATGGCAACTACCAAAACAGGCATAGGAATGTTTTACGGGTTGACAAAGAGAAGGGAAACATTTTAAAAGAGACTTTTTGTTCCAAACTATCTGAGCTCTGCTCAAAATCCCCAATCTGGCCTCTTGAGATATTTCTTTTTCTTACCCGTCATTAAACGTACAAAGGGTTCCGGGCACGTGGATGGTATCGGGAGGGTGAGTTTGTTGACGGCAACCCCATAAGCCACAGCCAGCCCGTCAATTCCCCGGTATGGAACTTCGCCGGTGAGCAGTTCCCACAGGAGCACCCCATAACTGGAAGAAGAAGAAACGGAAAAGGTTACAGGTGGTTCTCAACTTACAACCGTTTATTTGGTTGGGACCTTGGAGGTCTTCTAGTCCAGCCCCTTGCTCGAGCAGGAGACCCATTTCAGACAAGTGGCTGTCCAGTCTCTTCTGAAAAGCCTCCAGCAATGGGGCCAAACTTCAAAAGATCATTTAATAAAAAGTTGTAAGTTGAGGAATAACCCCCATTAGTCGTCTACCTGATGGGTTCGTCAGTTCGAGTCTCACCAGGCTCAAGATTGACTCAGCCTTCCGTCCTTCTGAGGTGGGTAAAATGAGGACCCAGATTGTTGGGGGCAATATGCTGACTCTGCAAACCGCTTAGGGAGGGCTGGAAAGCACAGTGAAGTGGTATATAGGTCTATTGCTATCTTTTCCTTCCTTCCTTCCTTCCTTCCTTCCTTCCTTCCTTCCTTCCTTCCTTCCTTCCTTCCTTCCTTCCTTCCTTCCTTCCGGTTAGAATGTACTATTGCAGGCTAATTCTGCCAAATGCCAGCAATTCGATCCTGACCAGCTCAAGGTTGACTCAGCTTTCCGTCCTTCCAAGGTTGGTAAAATGAGGACCCAGATTGTTGGGGGAA